CCCTTTGCTGAGCCACTAAAATAAGGAGGGATGAGCAACTAAGTAACTAAGAAGTAAGAACAAAAGAACATTGTATGACCCTATCGGCAGCCCTGCTCTCTCAGCAGCCCTGCTTTCTTGCTTCTGTAAACCTGCTTCTGCCACGTAGGCTTAGTAAAATCGCTTCCACATGCCACACTATAAGAACAAGCTTCTGCCTGAGGTCAGGACCCAGAATTTGGAGACTGCCGCCTCTGGGTCTGCATGCATAAATAAAGTTTCACGCCCGGAAGTGGCTGAGCTGTTTCCTGTAACATTTTGGTTCCCTGACCGCGCGGGAAACACTCAGAGGAGCAGGCCTTTTTTTGCCCACGGTGAGGGCAGCGAGGGGAGTGACCGAGAGGGAGCCCGGCAGCCGAAGGGAAGCACGCCCCCTGGTGATTTCGGGTCCCAGACACCTGGGTTGGAAACCCAGCCCTGTCACCTATTAGCTGTGTGCACTTGTGCAAGTTACTGAACCTCTCTGTGCCTCAATTTCCTCTTCTAGAAGATGGGGCTATGGTACTTGAAGGAGACTTCTTAAAAAGTTTTTTTTTTTTAAATTTTGAAATCATTTCATACTTAAAGAAAAGTTGCAAAAACAAAAGCCAAAGAACTCCTGTTTATTCTTCTCCCAAGAAATTCTCTCTGCAAAGTTGTAATGTCTTTTCATGTTTGTTTTATCATCTCCCATATAAATTATGTCATTTATTTATTTATAAGTTATTGTTATTGTATCTTCTGAACCTGAAATGGATGCTGCAGCCATGGTGCTCATTTACCCCTAAATACCTTGGTGTACATTATCTAAAAATAAGAATTTTCTCTTATATGAACACAGTACAGTAACCAAAATTAGAAAATTATTGTTGCTCCAGCACTATTATCTTGTTTATAGATCCAAATTGAAAATCATCAATTGTCCCAAGAATGTGTTCTAGAGGAAAAACACAAAACAAAACAAAACAAAACAAAAACCATTCTTTTCTGTGGTCCAGAGTCTTAATTCAGAATCAAACACCACATTCGGTTGTCACTTTCTGTATTTTTCTTTAATCTGAAACAAGTTCCTCATCTGTATTTTTCATGACCTTGACACTTTAAAGATTTTATTTCTTTATTTTAAGAGAGAGAGAGGAGAAAGGAGGTAGAAAGAGAGGGAAAAGAACATCAAAATGTGAGAAGAATATTGATTGGTTGCCTCTTGCATAAGTCCTGACTAGTGTCCCAACTCACAACCGAGGCATGTGCACTGAATGGAATCGAGCCTGGGATAATTTGCTCTGTGGGACACACCCAACCCACAGAGCCACACCAGTCATGGCCACGATCTGGACATTTTAAAAATGTACAGACCATTAATTTTGCATAATATGCCTAGGTTTTGGTTTGTTTCTTATTTCCTCGTGATTAGATACAGATTGTGCATTTTGGGTGGAATCCCACAGAAGCGATGTGTGTTATAGGATGGTTTTGGGGACAGAGTATAAAAGCACTGGGAAGAACATCTGGCACCCAAGCACTCTCCATGTGTTGATGAGTTGTGCATTGGTGTCCACACTCTGAGGCCTTCCCTTTCCAAGGCCCTTCCCCTGCCAGATTCTCAGAGCACCCATCACCATTGTGGGCAGCACAGTGACTCTCCAAGCCCAAGGTGCAAACAGTATCAACAGGGAAATGACACATACAGGAAGGAGAGAGCTAACTACACAGAATGGCCTACTAAAGGCTACGTGAACTGCTGCAGAGGCATAGTGGCCGTGGGGGCTGCCTGGGACTTGGGCTGGTTGAGGCCAGTGTCAAAGAAGGAGGGAGGCAGTCATCCCCACTTGACATGACACTATGGGTCAAGACTCTGGATCAGGAGCTTTTGGGGTCCCATCTAGAGAGCAGTCAGGCGTCTAGCAGGACTGGAATGCAGAGTTCTTTGACAGGGAAGTAAAAGTGAACTGTGCTAGCACCTGGGGACAGACCGCATACGGAAGAGAAAGACAAGAGGGAGAGGGCATCCAGGATGGTTCCTGGGTGTCTGGCATCTCGGTGGGGAAAGAAGAAGAGTACCCTTCGCTGAGACTGGGAACCCAGGACAAATGAGTGAGGAGGACAATGCAGTCAGTTTTTGACCAGGAAGGGTTGGGGGTGCCAGGTGGAGATGTCCAGTAGCCATGTAGATTTGGAACTCTGATATGGGCTGGGTGTCTAGATTTGGGAAACATGTCTTCCCCCTCTGCAAAACGGTGTCCCTCAAAGCATTAGTGTGAGGATCCATGACATGACATGTATAAAGGTGGGTTCCAGAATATTAAAGACTAATATTCTGATGATGTCAATTAGGATGATGATAATGATAATGATGATGACCAGGATGAGTGGAAACCATGGCTAAGGGGGGATGTAGGAAGAGGGACAGAATAGAATAAACATCCTTCTTTTTTAAAACTAATTTATTTTTATTGTATATTTTCCATTACCATCTAGTCTCCTTATACCCCCACCCCCACAATCACCACACTGTTGTCCATGAGTCCTTGTTTCCTTTTGTTCAACCCTCCACCCACCAACTGTCAGCCTGCTCTCTATCTGTCAGCCTGCTCATATCTGTCAGCCTGCTCTCTATCTATGAGTCTGTCTCTATGTTGCCTGTTAGTTAAGTTTGTTCTTTAGATTCCACGTATGTGTAAAATCACTTGGTATTTGTCTTGCTCTGGCTTAGTTCACTTAGCGTATTGTTGTCAAGATACATCCATACTGTTGCAAGGGGAGAAATTTTCTTCTTTTTATGGCTGTGTAGTATTCCATTATGTAAATGTCCCATCGTTGTTTTATCCACTCATCCACTGATGGACCTTTGGGCTGTTTCTATATCTTGCTGATTGTCAATAATGCTGCAGTGAACATACAGGTGCTTACGTTCTACTGAGGTAGTGTTTTGGGTTTCTTCGCATATATTCCCAGAAGTGTGATCGCTGGGTCAAAAGGCAGGTTCATTTTTAATTTTTTAAGGTATCTCCATACTACTTTCCACAGTGGCTGCACCAGTCTGCATTTGCACCAACAGTGCCAAAGGGCTCCCCTTTCTCCACATCCTCACCAGAACTTGTTGTTTGTTGATATATTGATGATGGCCATTTTGACGAGTGTGAGATGATATCTCATTGTGATTTTAATTTGTGTTTCTCTGATGATGAGTGAACTTGAGCATCTTTTCATATGTGTATTGGCCATCTGTAGATCTTCTTTGGAAAAGGGTCTATTCAGGTCCTTAGCCCATTTTTCAATTGAGTTGTAGAAATTTTTGATGTTGAGTTCTGTAAGTTCTTCATAAATTAGATATTAGCCTCTCATCAGATGTATTGGCAAATATGTTCTCCTGTCCTGTGGGTTTTCTTTTTATTTTGTTGATGTTTTCCTTTGGTATGCAGAAAAATTCTAGTTTGATATAGTCCCATTTGTTTATTTTTTCTTTTGTTTCCAGTGCTGGGGGAGATATATGTGATAAAATATTGCTATGAGCTATGTCTGAGATTTTGCTACCTATATTATTTTCTAGGATTTTTATGGTTTGCTCTCTAATGTTCAAGTCTTTAATCCATTTTTAATTTATTGTTGTGTGTGGTGTAAGAAGGTGGTCTAGTTTCATTTTTATACATGTGTCTGTCCAGTTTTCTCAACATCATTTATTAAATGAACTATCTTTAGCTTATTGTATGCGCTTAGTTCCTCTGCTGAATATTACTTGACTCTAAATGTGTGGGTTTATTTCTGGGCTCTGTATTGTTCCATTGATCTGTGTGTCTGTTTTTATGCCAGTACCAGACTGTTTTGATTACTGTGGCCTTGTAGTATGGTTTGATATTAGGCAGCGTGATTCCTCCAACTTTGTTCTTCTGTCTCAGGATTGCTGTTGCTATGCATGACCTATATGTAGAACCCCCCTTTGATACTCCACTAGTCCCTCCTTTTTAACCAGGTAAAGATTTCCCTTCATCTACTTGGAGTAAGAGTCTATAAGTCCCACTAAAATCTCACTCCCTCTTGAGGATCTGTGTCCTGGAGTCTTTCAATGTCTCGAGGTCCTCCACTCTGCCTTCCCTTGCTACAGGTTCTTAATGGTGGCCCTTGCAGTATGAATAAGCCAGTTGGAAAACAGATGGCACTTGTATGTCTGTGTTGACCATTTCTTTGGGTCTGTGGCCAGGCCTCCTCATTGGATAAGCTCTCAGGAGAAGCTCAGCTGACACTGCAGTCAAAGAGGCCTGTTATGAGACAGAGGGATTTAAGTTAAAATCTTCTCCTGGAGGGAACCAGAGAGTCCCCAAGCCCTGGTGCTTTTGGCTCAGTCTAGTTATTGATTCCCAGATCCCCTTCTAGTTCCAACTTTCAGGTCCACTGGCATGGACAACATTTCCGCTCGGTTGTGGTGCAATACCTCCCATACAACTCATCCAGGGACCCACGTGTTCCTCTCTCTCCAACCGAGACAGGCTTCCCATTTCACTGGCCTATTTCAGTGAATAGAGTTAAGACTGTTTCGTTCTCTTCCTAGAAATCTGGGCATTGTCTGTGTCTTCTCTCTCTTCCGTCCCCTCTATGATTAGCTACCCAATCCTGTCAATAAAGTGCCTGAGATTTGTTCTTCCCTCTCTGTTCCCTCATCAGAACAAACATTCTCTGAATTCCCAGGACATATAAAGGTATCCTCAATTGCGTAGTATTGGATTTGATAATACCAGCTTTTTTTTAAACCTGTGAGTCTGATTTCTTTTTATTCATTGTCTTCTTGAATTAGTTCTTGCAAAGATATTTTGTTCTCCATCTGGATTTTAAACAGTGCAACTCTAGGCAACCGAATTTCTCTTCATTTTTTTTCTCTCCTCTCCTCTCCCTTCCTCTCTCTAAATCTTGCTTCCGGGGGGGCATAGCAGGTGCTTGGCTCACCCTAAGCTGTGGCATGGGGTTGAGGCTCTCCCTGTTACAGGGCATTGCCGTGGCGCTCAGTGTTGTATCCAGGAAACATCTGAAGATAGTCCTGGAAGAAGTTGGACTATATAGTGCTGTCCTCACTGACAAGGCCTCATCGCTCATCCTGAAATTTATGAAGGTGATACCATTCCCAGATGGCTCTGCCCACCTCCTTCATAGAGTCTTCAAAGGCATCCCCATCACCCCAGCCTCCCACTTCTCTGAGGCTTTGTGATGCACCTATAAGGGCTTCTCTTTCCCTCCGACCAAATGTGGGAAAGGTCCTCCCACCCTCTACCCTCCCTCCTGCTCCCTCCTTTCTCTTGCTTCCTCCTGTCCACACTTTGGGCCCTGGTCTCAGCAGCTGCATGCCCTCTTTCCCCAACTGTCATCACTCCACTGCCCCATCTTCCCTCCCACACCCTCTGGGACACCTTTTCCTTGTTGAACCTCTGTTTCCCCATCAGGCAAGGAGGGTAAGGTAGGGAGGAGCCAAGATTTCCTTTTCCCCCTACAGGAACATCAGCAGAGGAAATGGGCGATGGTGTGCAGTACTATTTATTTAAGCTACAGGAAAATTATTGAGGAGAACAACACAATCATCTTCCTGTACTTAGACGACATCCTGGCCTTGGTCCTCCAACACTACCACAACTGCGTTGTGGAGAAGGTACTTCCTGGTCACTCTGCTTCTCCAGCATCTCTTCTCTGCCATCTCTTTGCCTACCCTCCAGAAAAAAATGCCTGGCCTTCAACGAGACTTGGGGAGTAGGGGCTAGTACAGTTACTTCTCCCACATTTCAATCCTTCACTTAATCCCACTGGAGACTCTAACTGACCAAGGAAGAGACCTCAGGAATTTGGACTCTGTTAAAAAGTGTCTCCTTCCCTGCTGGCATGCTATGTAACATGCCTTTCAGCTCTTCACTGTCTTCCCCCATAAAGGGATGAGTAAAGCTAAAATTTTCTGATTGTCATAGGAAGAAGCATTCACGGGAGATAGAAGGAGCCCCATACTATTCTCCTGCCTTTGCTGTTTGTCCACAGCTTGGCTCCCTAGGGATGGAGAAGAAGCCCTTTCTGTTCCCACTAGATGTCCTTTGGAAGAACTTATCCATGGGAAAGACAATATCTTGAGAGACAAGGAAGCTAGATCTCACCTAATTTAGGAGTTCTCTGAGGGGGACTCAGGAAGAGGGGTGGTGAGTGGGCTGGCCCCATGCCCCACAGGGAAGATAAAGAGTGTCAGGCTGAGCAAGACTACAGAAGGCTTAGCTCCTCATCCCCCAGTCTTGCTGTGGGTAGTGTGTCCTGGTTCCTGGGTCATGCTCACCTTGGAAGTCTCTGAGCTTCCTGGTTCCTTCAGGATAAGAACCTGCAGCAGGATTACCTGGATGCCCTGACCATTTTGACAAACATCCTGAGCAGCCAGCAGCCCTTGGCCTGTGGATTCAGTTTCTCCCAGAAACCATCCTTAGTAAAACTCATGGTGGTAAGTACTTCTCAGAAGGATGGAGGTGGAAATGCAGAGAGGAGGGAGCACAGGTGTCATGGGAATCACTGGTAGTGCTCCTAGGCTGGGGGGAAGGTGTGGTTGAGAGTCAGGAAAAGGTGCTTTCCTCAGAGTCTTTCGAAGTCCCTAGAAATTCTAGATTCTACCTTCTGATGAGCACAGCCTGGAGGAGGGGGACACAGAGGCAGACAGGAAAAACATGTTTGCCACCCTTTTTGGGCTGTGTGTGTGTATGTGTGCGTGTGTGTGTAATAGGACCTGATCAGCGAAGAGCCATTGGACTCCATCTCCAGCCCCATTAGACAGAAGGCGATGAACATCATCGCTGACTTCAGGTAACAACATGCCATACACTCTGTCTTCTCTTTCTCTGCCCTGGTTCTAGTTCAGCTCTTTATTCCCTAGTCCATCCCCACTGCTTATTTCCTGTCTCTGCTTGTAGTAGCAATTTACTGGATAATGTCTTCCACTTTTTTGCCAGGATTCTTTGGATGGGGTTCTCAGAGCGCCTGGCAGAGACAGCCTGGAGATAGGACTTGCTGTCACTTCTTCCCAGGCTTCCCTTTACTTTCAGGGCTGCCCCAACTAGGCACGTCCATCTCCATCACTGATGCTTATTCTCTGAAAACCTCTGGGGAACCAGAGAGTAATATATCCTCCCTAATTAGCAGTGCCCTTTCCTGAGAGAGGCATGCCTCATCTCTTCCCCCTTAGTTCCCTTTTGCCACCTTCCTGGCTCCTTTCACCTTTTCTTACTGTTTCCTCCCTTTCCTCTTATTACTCTTTCTTCTGATATGTATCTTCCTCTTCCTTGCTCCCACCTACCCCTCATCTTTAGCATCCATTTCTTTCCCTTCCTCAGCAGTTATTACCGACCACCATTGTCCAGTTACATTTCTTTTCTCTGTTCCTTAGGCTGCTGGGGCCCCTTTTAGAGGCAGAACAAGGAGCAGAGCTGCTCCAACTGTGCTTCAATAGTGTGTTCTGCCTGCCACCCCCAGACATGTTGCAGAAGGACGCATCTAGTCCCGAGGAGGCCCAGGCCAATTTGGTAAGTAACTCTTTAATGTTTGTCTCCTTTACTTTAGTTTTTTATTTATTTTATTTTATTGATTGTGGTATTATACCTGTCCTGATTTTGCCTCTTGTCCCCTCCACCCGGCACCACCCACTCCCTCAGGCATTGTTCATGTCCGTGGGTCCTGTGAATAAGTTCTTTGGCTACTCTCTTCTCCTCACTGTACTTTGCATCCCTTTGGCTACTCTGGAATGACCAATTTGCACTTAATGCCCTCACCTCTCCATTCATGCCCCATACCCCTAACCCACCCCACAACCATCAAATTGGGCTCTGTACCTATGACTGTGCCTCTGTGCTACTTGGTTGCTTAGTTTCTTGCAACTGAATTTGCTTGATTTTCTTCAAGATCAGTAAGTAGGTCTGTTCACCTTGGGCCTTCTTTTCATCAGATGTGTGGTGATCCTCCCTTTTTCCTTCATATTTATTCATGTTATGAAGGAAGGACTGGTACATACAGAAAGGGCTGAAGTGGGAAGTATCCTGTGGTTGTGTCCCCATGGTGCTCTCCTCACTGTAAATCTGGTTAGGGTGAGGAGGGTATTTTGACAGGATTTCCCTGTGTGTTGGGCAGACTGGGAATTCCAAGTGCCCAGTGAGAACAGGTCTACCCTGAGGTGGATTTCTTTTGAGTCCTTCATTCTAGGGAAGGCTGCCTTTCTTTCTGTTTCCCCCCTGCTTTTCAGTTTTAGTGGTCTGGATCTATGACCAATGTTGCTTTGGTTCTCCCAGTAGGCCTACCTTTAGGCCTGCAACTTGGCAGATTACCTACTCTCCTTATAAGGTTTTGGGCGAGGCCACTCAGTTCACTAAAGGCTGAGAGGGAGAAATCCACTCTCCTAACTTTGGTGAATCAGTTACCAGCGAACAGCCAGGTCTGTCCTCTTCCCCCTGGAGCCAGACACCTCTGAGTCAGGGCCCACACTGGGAGCAGATTCCCAGATGAACTCAGGTGGGGAGTGGGGATGGAGCAGCCAGGGGTAGTAGCTATGTTGTCAGGGATCTCCCAGTCTACAAGGACAAAATTCCCAGCAGGCAGACGTCTGTGCTCTGGTGTAAACAACTGAGGAATCTATTGAAGTGAGTGATGGGTGAATAGTGCTTGGAATGTAGGGGGCTGTTCTGGAGCAGGCTTTCTCAAGGAAGGCTTCCTAGAGAGTCAGAGTACTGAGCAGGGTGTCTAGAAGAAGGACTGGGCCTGAGAGCTTGGCAGTTGTTTGAGTCTCTTTTTTCCCCCTCAGGATCTATTTAACGGGACCATGGGATCCCTCCAGAGGCTCACAGAGGCAGTTGTGGCTGAGATGCCCACACGGATGGAGGACTGCTTGGAGGTCAGTGGGAAGAAGCCCCTGGAAGTCGACATATTGGTTGGTTCCTAGGGCTGCTGTAATGAAGTACCACAATTGAGGGACTTCACACACCTTGCTGTCACAGTCATAAGGGATAAGAGTCCAAAATCAAGGTATCAGCAGGGTTGGTTCCTACTGAAGGTTCTGAAGAAGAGTCTGTTCCAGGTGTCTCTCCTAGCTTCTGGTTATTCCTAGCAACCTGTGGGGCATCTCTTGGTCTGGACACATATCACAGCAATCTGTGTCTCCATTTATTTCCGCAGGGCATTCTCCCCTCTGTGTGTGTGCACGTGTGTGTGTGTGTCTGTGTGTGTGTGTGTGTGTGTGTGTGTTTTCTCTGTTTAACAGGGACAGCAGTCATCAGGTCAGGAACCACCTGAACCCAGTATGAACTCACCTTAACTTGAATCAGCTACAATGACCCTATTTCTAGACAAGGTCACATTCTGAGGTGCTGGGTGGACGTAAATTGCAGGGGGGGCACTACTAACTCAGTACTGTTGGAAACAGATGAGAACAGTCTAGGGACAAACCAAGAAGGAGAACTGCTGATGAAGCTGGGGTACAGAGCTCTTAGGGAAAGATTAATGAGGGCTGGGATCCAAATAAAGTAGGTCTTGCCTTCAGAGAAGAAAATGTCCTCCTTCCTTCTTCCCCATCAACCATTCCCCCTGACCATCTCCTCTCTCAGCGCCCTTCTGCTACTTTATAGCACTGAATAGTTAAAAGCAGGAGCTCTGGACTTCCATACACTACAGTACCAGATTCTGGCTTTCCTGCTTGCTGTGTGGTTTGGGGGAGTTATTTCATTTGTCTTTGCCTCAGTTTCCCCCCCTGGAAAATGGAATGACAGTACCTAGTTAATACCATCGTTCTGATAATGGAATGAGATGTTTACAAAGTGCTTGGCTTAAAGAAGTGAGGTACAGGTTCAAATAATTTGTCCATTAAAAAAATTGTGTGCCTTTTTATTGACAACTTTCCCATCGTTAATGTCATTACGTTACTTTGGTCTTCTCCTGAAAATTTTATTCCCCAATTCTCATGGAAAGTTAAAGATTTCCTTGCAGTTCCTGTTGCTGTTAGAATGTAGATCACTGAGGACTATAGTCAGAGAGTTGCATACACAAGTTACATCTTGAAATAATTCTTTTCTGTGAGTTCATATTATCAAATTGATATACTTTACACTTAGTTTGTGTTAAATTTTATGATTTTCTTCCTTTTATTTAATTGAACAGCTTGATGATGTAGAGATTTACATAATTAAAAATTTACAATAAAACTAGGTGCCCTTTTACTCAGCGAATTCTTGCTTGCATACCAATCTTCTTAACCTTTTTACCACTCACCCTCTGTAGATAAGCTTTTCATTCACTTCTGGTTTGTGCTTCCCTTTTTACTCAGTCAAAATAAACAAATCCCTGTTTATGGTATATTCTTATCTCCCTCTTTTTTTTTTTTTTATGCTGTAGGTAGCACATTCTTTCTAGTACCCTGGACCTTGCTTTTTCATTCGTGTCAGTTCACAAATACATTCCTTTTTTGTATGATCTCACACATTGTGTGCATGTCTTATCGTTTCTTCATCCGTCCCCTATAGATGGACACTGGACTGTTTGTAATCATTTTGCTGCCAGTTTTCTCCTGAACTTTTGAATTTGAAAAGATCGTAGATTCTCAAGGGGTTGCAAAAACAGTATAGTACTTAGAGCCCTTGAATGGCACACTGTCAAAACCAGGGCGCTCACGTGGGCGCACTGTTGTAAGACAACAGGCTTTGTTCCGTTTCCACCACTGTTTACATGTGCTCATTTGTGTGCATCCTATGCGGTTTGATCTTTTTTGTAGAATTATGTACACGGCCATCATCACCATTGTGATTTGGATGTTCCCTCACCGAGAGAAGTTTTCTTGTGCTACTGCTTTATAATCACATCTCCTCCCCACCTTGCCTCTATTCCCTGGCAGCCACCAACCTGTTCTCTGTCTCTGTAATTGGGTCCTTCTGAGGTTGTTATATACATGGAATCATCTAGTATGTTAGGTTTCATGAGCTCGACTTCTTTCTGTAAGCTTAATGGTCACAAGTCCTTTTACAGATCTGTACTTTGCCCATGTTTTCATCCAATCTGTAGTTTGTCTTTTTGTTCAAACTATGAGAGAAAGTTTACTTAGAAAATGACCAATGTAGAAGTGAGTCATAGAAGTATTAATTTTACTGATCTTTTAAAAGAACCAACTTTTTGTTTGTTTTCTCTATTTAGTCTCTTCATATTTTTCTGTTTTTGTATTCAAATTCTATCAACTTTTGCTATTATTTGTAGTATCTTCTTTCTTTGGATTTACTTTACTTTTTCTACTTTTCCTTAAGTGGAAACTTAGATTATTGACTTAAGACCTTTCTTCTTCTCTAAGAGAAATATTTGGTGGTACAAATTTCCCTTTAGGCATGAGGTTAGCTGATTCCATACATGTTGATATGCTGCATTTTCATTCTTTAGTTCCAAGTACACTAAAATTTCTCTTGAATTTTCCCTTTGGGCAATAAATTATTTACAAGTGTGTGGTTTAATTTCTAGAAGTTTGAAGAATTTTCTTTCAGTTCTCTTTTAGTTTTTGGTTTCTAATCTAATTGTATTATGGTCTCTTTTCCTTCACTTGAGAGTATGCTTATCTCATCTTTTCAATGATTGCAATTTTTTTAATTTGTTAAGGTTTTATTTAATGAGGCAAGATATGGCCTATTTGCTCTTGTGGGACACATGGTGCTAAAATGCCCCCTGATGGTGTTGTTCAGGTCTGCAGTCTCTTTGCTGGTTTTCTATTTCCTAATATATTGCTCACTGAGAGAGGATTGTTGAGATCTCCAAGCCTACTGAGGATTTACCTGTTTTTCCTTTCAGTTCTGTCAGCTTTCACTTCATATGTGTTGAAGCTGTGTTAAGTGCATACGTGCTAGGATCTTCGTGGTAAACGGTTCTTTTGTCCTTGTGAAATACCCTCTTTAGTAATTTTCTTTGCTATGAAGTCATATTTCTCTATTGTAAATAGTCACTATATCTGTTTTAAAATTTGTATTTGCAAGACACTTCCTCGTTCATCTTTTTATTTTTGACATACTAATATTGTGGTATTTGAAGTGAATTTTTTGCAGATAGCAGACAGTTGGTCATTAAAGAAATCTATTTGGTAGGCTCTTTTTTATTTTTTTTAAATGTATTTTATTGATAATGCCATTACACTTGTCCCATTTCCCCCCTTCATTCCCCTCCACCCTGCACACCCTCTCCCCCCTACATTCCCTCCCTTTAGTTCATATCCAGGTGTCATAAGTTCTTTAGCTTCTACATTTCCCACACTACTCTTGCCTTCCCCTGTTTATTTTTTCCCCACCATCTATGCTACTTATTCTCTGAACCTTCTCCCCACTCTCTTCCTCCCACTCCCCTGCTGCTAACCCTCCATGTGATCTCCATTTCTGTGGTTCAGTTCCTGTTCTAGTTGTTTGCTTAGTTTGCTTTAGCTTTAGGTGTGATTGTTAATAACTGTGAGTTTGCTGTCCATTTACTGTTCATATTTTTTATCTTCTTTTTCTTAGCTAAGTCCCTTTAACATTTCATATAATAAGGGCTTGGTGATGATGAACTCCTTGAACTTCATCTTATCTGAGAAGCACTTTATTTGCCCTTCCGTTATAAATGAAAGCTTTGCTAGATAGAGCAATCTTGGATGTAGGTCCTTGCATTTCATGACTTGGAATACTTCTTTCCAGTTCCTTCTTGCCTGTAAGGTCTCTTTTGAGAAATCTGCTGATAGTCTGATGGGAACTCCTTTGTAGGTGACTGTCCCCTTATCTCTTGCTGCTTCTAGGATTCTCTCCTTCATTTTAATCTTGGCTAATATAATTATGATGTGCCTTGGTGTGTTCCTCCTTGGGTCTACCTTCTTTGGGACTCTGAGCTGCCTGGACTTCCCGAAAGTCTATTTCCTTTGACAGATTGGGGAAGTTCCCTTTTATTATTTGTTCAAATAAGTTTTCCACTTGTTGCTCTTCCTCTTCTCCTTCTGGTACCCCTATAACTTGGATGTTGGAACATTTAAAGATGTCCTTGAGGTTCCTAAGCCTCTCCTCATTTTTTTTTGAATTCTCGTTTCTTCATTTTTTTCTGTTTGTTTGCTTCTTTCTTCCTTCTGGTCCACTCCATTGATTTGAGTCCCAGTTTTCTTTCCATCACTATTGGTTCCCTGTGCATTTTCCTTCATTTCACTCAGTGTAACCTTCATTTTTTCATCTAATTTTGTGACCAAAATCAACCAGTTCTCTGAGTATCCTGATCACCAATGTTTTGAACTGTGCATCTGATAGGTTAGCTCTCTCTGGGTCGATTAAAAGTATTGGCTCTGGGGTTTGAATTGTTCTCTTGTTTGAGCCATAATGTTTTGATCTGGTTGAGCCTGTTATGATGGTAGGCTCATTTTTAAAAGTGGTTTCTGACTATTTGTCTTTTAATTGGTGTGTTCAGATCACTAACATTTTCTAAATGAACATCAATTTCATTTACAAAGCATTAAAGCTTAGCAAGAAGTACCTGAGGCTAAGTTTCCTCTGGCACAGAACTACAGGATGTTAAACACAAAAGAGGGTATGATGAAAGGGAAGAAGATGCTTATGTTGTACAAACTGAGTAAATCAAACTGCAGTGGACAGTGGTTTAATGAGCTAAAAAAAATTCCAAAAGCAGAAATAATTATTAGGAGCTGCCATCAGGAACCTTTATAACACATCATTTGCACATTATTGCAGAGTTACAGAACAGAGAGACATAGAACAGAAGTAATGTTTTGCTCTTCTTCTGTATAAAAAGTAGATTGGTTGGATGTGTACAGTGGGTTTTGAGATCCTCTGAAATTCAGAGTAAAGAAACCGTGTGTGCAGAGGGTTTCCTAGCTGACTGAGGAGAGAGCTTTTAGCTGACCAGAAGTGCTTCGCCTGTGTCATCATTTTCACAATGTGTTCAAAGGAGAGTGTGAGCACTGCTTATTGTGAAATTGCTGTCAGCTGGTGGGTGCTCCTGGAGGAGGCTGAGCAAATTGGTTAGTTTATGCAGTTTGGGATAGAAATCAAAGGAGAAGCCATCAGTGAGAGCCTTTCTCTTCTTCTATCTTTTAGAACCAAAACATTCAGTAGTTGAACTCTTCCTGAGTCTATATCTATATATTTTTAAAATATTTTATTTGTTTTTTTGAGAGAGAAGGGAAGGGAAGGAGAAAGAGTGGGAGAGAAACATCAATGTGTGGTTGCCTCTCATGTGTCCCCTGCAGGGGACCTGGCCTACAACCCAGGCATGTACCCTGACTGGGAATCAAACTGGCGACCCTTTGCTTCACAGACCCGTGCTCACTCCACTGAGCTACACCAGCCAGGGCAGCCTTTTTCTTTATTGGCTCTCACAGTAATGAATTATTTCCAAGTATTCTCCAAAAGCAACAAGAGACAGTTATTTTTTCTAGTATCAATTTTTACTTTATTTTATTTTTATTTCTAAGTATATTTTAATGATTATGCCATTATAGTTGTCCCAATGTTTTTCTCCCCTTTATCCCCACACCACCTTGTACCACCCCACCTCCAGCATTCTGCTTTCTTTGTTCATGTCTGTAGGTTGTACATAGAAGTTCTTTGGCTTCTCTGTTTCTTTTATTATTCTTTACCTCCTCCCCCATCTATTTTATACCTACCAATTATGCTTCTTATTCCCTGTACTTCTCCCCAAATTATTTTCCTCCCCCTTTCCACTGAAAACCCTCCATGTGATCTCCATTTCCCTGGTTCTGTTCCTGTTCTAGTTGTTTGTTTAGTTTTTGTTTTTTAAGTTCAGTTCTTGATAGTTGTGAGTTTGTTGTCATTTCACTGTGCATAGTTTTTATCTATTTCTTAGATAAGTCCCTTTATCATTTCATATAATAAGGGCTTAGTGATGATGAACTCCTTTAACTTGACCTATCCAGGAAGCACTTTATCTGCCCTCCTATTCTAAATGGGAGCTTTGCTGGATAGAGTCATCTTAGGTCTAAGTCCTTGCTTTTCATGACTTCACATACTTCTTTCCAGCCCCTTCTTGCCTGTAAAGTTTCTTGTGAGAAATCAGCTGATAGTCTTATAGGCACTCCTTTGCAAGTAACTGTCTCCTTTCCTCTTGCTGGTTTTAAGATCCTCTCCTGGTCTTTAATCTTGGCTAATGTAATTATGATGTGCCTTGGTGTGTTTCTCCATGGATGCCATTTCTTTGGGACTGTCTGGGCTTCCTGGACTTCTTGGAAGTCTGTACTGTATATTCCCTCATTATTTGTTCAAATCAACTTTTAAATTCTTCCTCTTGGTCGTCTTTTTCTGGCATTCCTATGATTTACATGTTAGAGGGCTTAGAGTTGTCCCAAATGTTCCTTTTAAAAAAAAATCTTGTTTTTTCTTTTTTTTCTGGATGGATGTTTATTTCTTCTTTTTGTTCCAAATTGTTGATGTGAGTCCCAGTTTCCTACTCTCCACTGTTGACTTCCTATATATTTTATTTCACTTTGGGTAGATATTATTTCTTCCTTCATTTTGCAACTGATCTCAATCAGTTCTGTGAGCATCCTGATTACCAATGTTTTGAACTCTGTATCAGATAGGTTGTCTATCTCCTTGTCACTTAGCTCTTTTTCTGGAATTTTGCTCTGTTCCTTCATTTGGGCCATATTTCTTTGTCTTGTTGCACCAGATATGTTGTAAGGAGGCAGAGCCTTAGGTATTGCCAGTGCAGGGTAACTCATGTACCTGTGATGTGGTGCTATATTTGAGGGAGGGGTGTGAGAGGGAACAATGTGGCTTTTTGGGCTCTCAGTCAGCCTTCAGTCATGTTCCCCACTACCCACAAGCAAATCGATCCCTTCTGGTACTACTTCCCAGGTGGGTGGGTTTGTGTACATTCTAGGACCTTGTGGGCCTCCCCAACAAACTCTCCTGTGGGGATGGGAGTTTCTTCTGCCACCACAATACCCACAAGTTTTTACAGCCAGAGATTTTGAGGCTTTATTTTCCCACACTGTAACCCTGGTTTGTGTGGTCTGTCTCGCTCTCCAGTTGTTCCTCCTGGATTGTCCTCATGTGAATGTGGGACCACCAAGTCCACCAGCTGCTGCCTTGTCATTAGTTCTCCCTGCCCCAGCTACCCATCTCTGCCCCTCCTACCCATCTGAATGAATGTTCCTTCTTTAACTCCTTGGTTGTCGGACTTCCACACAGTTCTATTTTCTGGCAATTCTGGTTGTTTTTGTTTTTAAATTTCTTGTTGTCCTGCTTTTTTTGGTTGTACAAGGAGGCAAAGTTTATCTACCTATGCCTCCAACTTGGTAGGAAGTCTTGTAGTATCCTTTGAGTTTATAATGAATTTTTAAAACCTTTATGTGTTTTAATTAAATATAACTATTATTGTATTGATGTCTATGTTGTCTTACATTCAGTGAGTGGCAGACTTTGAGTTGGCTCCTGAATCCCTCCAAGATGACTTCATTAACCTTCAATAGCTTCCTTGCTCTCCAGTGTAATATCTTGTGTCCTTCCTATCTCAGTCCTGGAATCACTGTTTCTCCAAAGATCTCTCACTCCCCTCCATAGGAAATGGTATTTACAAAACACAATCTCATTGCTGAAGTATTTCATCATAGTCTGACTGCAAGGAAGACTTGTAAAACTGCTACTAAAATCCTCATCTCTTATGAAATGCTTTTTCTGGTCAGTGCAGCCTCAGTGTTGTCTTGAGTTGGTTGTGAATTTTTCACCTGCTGCTCTTCTTGTTTTTTTTTTTTCCATTATAGATTGTTATCTGTCTAGGAATACCAGGGTATAGGGACCCACTGAAGTGAGTAGAGTGGGTCTATTTTGAGAGCCACTGCTTTAACCTAAAGGAAGGGATAGGAATTGAGGAGATTTCTAGCACCAAGATGAGGGGAAATTTGGGGCTGGGAAATGAAGGGGCCTCTGGTGCCAGACCCACATAACCTGCCTCTTTGCAGAAGAGGCCCTGCTGTCAGAAGTCTTACCCTGATACTTCGCTGAATCTAGGTTCAAGAGTACCTCTCTGTCCTCTGGGATGCAGCTGAATAGGTCTCTCCTTGTATCCTCTTCTCCCTCCAGCTTTTGGACCCATGGCTTAATTCCCAGAAGGACAGTGAGCGGGAACGGGCCATGCAGTGTGCAGCCCATGTACTTGAATTTGTTGCAATGATGGATAACTTCACGGTGAGTGAGAGCCTGCCCTGGAGCCTGGGCCTCATACCCAGTCTGGTTGCACTTATTCCTGCGTTTATCCAAAACTTCATCACATGCATTACCAAGTCTCAGTCACTCATGCTCATCCTCCTTCGCCCTGATCCCATCATGTTTTCCCTTGTGCATCCCATCGTGTTCTCTCCTTCTTCCCTACTGACATCTTCTACTTAGTCTTTTTCTCCATCCACCTACTTTATTTCATTCCACTTGTTTCATTTTGATGCTATTTGTCTGAATGAGCAGTTACCAAATGCTCACCTTGTGCCAGGTACTGTGCTAGGTGCTATAGCAAACGCACAGATGACTGAGACACTTCTCTGACTCTATGGATATTACAGTCCAGTATGGGGAGACGCATGCACAGCATGAACTTAAACAGAAGGTGATAATGAATATATAAACCAAATGCTGTGGGAATGAAACTTCAAAACAAACATTACAAATGAGGGCGGTAAGGAAAACTTCATAGAGGAGGAGATATTTGAGCAAGGCCTGACAGGTGATGTGGTACCAAAAGACAAAGAAGGGATACAGAGCAAGGTCATTTCAAAACTATGATCTGTGAAGTTCTTTATGGGCACAATTCACCTGTCTAATGCCATTCCCACTGACCTCACCTAGTCTCTCACCTTTCATGTCTCTGGCACATGCATTCCCTCCTGTCAGTTCTTTTCCTGTGAGAACTCAGCCTAAAGGAAGGGCTAGGATAACTTCCAGCTTCCTTCCCTAGATGCAGATGGAGATCACCCAGCTGGGGCACTGGGTAAAGCTGCTGGCCATGTGCTGCCAGGACCCTGTGGACACCATCTGCTCTTTGTCATCCCAGGCTGCCTACAGCCTCAACTGTATCCTCTCAAGAAAGAAGCGTAAGGGGAAGCTTCTTCTATCACCCTCTCTAAAGCCTCCCACTTGGGCTGGCCATCCCCTCACACTCTGTCCCAGAAGAGTAAAACCCAAGAAGTTAATTGAACACCTTATTTCCATTTACAGATCTGCCCCCAAACATCTACAGTTAATCTCTTGGGTCAAAATACACACAGAGGAAATAGTTCTTTTGAATTAGTTTCTCCTCCTCCTGCAGAGCGCCATACTTTTACTCAATTTTACCTCTGATCTGAGACAGGCAGCTTCGGGGTCCTTTGACCTGAACTCCCACCATTCCTGTTCTCAATGTCCATTCCTCTACTCCTAGCTCCACAGGACACACATAGTCTACAGCTGACCTAGGGCAGCAGGAGTTTGTTCTAGAAGGTGGGAAAGTGGGGAGCCTAAGATGCTTTCTCAGTATCTTAGGAGTGTGGTCGGGTGTTTTGGTTTCAGAGATGGAAGAGCAAAATCTGGCCTTCCAGCAAGAAGAGGACAAGAATAAATGGGATTTATCTCCTAGAAATGCCAATGATGTTGGAAAGGTGAGTGGGCAGGACTAGAGACAAAGTGAGGAGAGCCTGAGGCTGTCATTGACCTGCTATTAGAGACTCCTGGGTGGGACTTTTTGATCCCTTCTCATTTCCCATTCCATTACTAGATGGGACCTTTCCCTTTTGGGAAAATTTTCCTACCACATGCTACTATTTTTCTCTTTGGGCATTACGGGTCCTAATCCTTGTTGACCTGTCTCCCCAGAAGCCTTCGCTTCATGCTAATGATGCTTTGTGAGCAATGTGTAGATGCCACCTGTGCCTCAAGAAGATGTCACTCAGCCCCTGAACCCCTGCCCTCCTGTCCCCATGCTCTGCCTCTGTAGCCACTGACCTCTGAGCCCCACTCTGCCTCTGAGGTCAGTGTTTGCTCACTTCTATCCCTAAAGACTCTCATCAGTGAAAGAGTCTTCTGGATCTAGGTATCCAGCACAAGCCTGAGACAAAAAGCACATCATCTTCCCAGGAGAAGCCCTCCTTTTCCAAGAGGAAGGGCACAGGCTGTCTCAGACAGGGGACCCCTGAGTCCAGCCTGATCCCACCCTTTTGCAGGCATTTGCACAGTTCTTCACCCAGCCTCAGCTCACCAGCCTGGTTCTCACAGCTGTGGAGGAACTGAGCAGCAGCAGGACCCAGTTATCTCTGGCTTCAGCCCAGTTGATGAGCGCTGTCATCCAAGAGCGAGGCAAAGATCTGGGGAAGGTAATGTGGTGCTGCGGCAAGGCTTTGCCCTACAGTCAGGAGCCCTGGGCTCTTCCCCTGGCTCTGTCACCAAGCAGCTGGAAGGCCTTGGCCAAGTCCCTCTGTTCAGCTGGCTTTAATTCATTAACCCCTAAAATCTAGGCTTGTGCTACATTTTCTCTGTGGTCACAGGGAGCCCTAACATTGCAATTCTGAGCTTGTAACTGCAGTGTTTCCCACCTGGTTGGCTGATTACTCAGGTAATGACAACCATCTGCAGTAGTGTAAGCATTTTTGGGGGATTCACCCTGATTCCCTGGAGTGTCAGCGGGCCTAGACCTCTGTGAAAGGAAAGGCTGTGGACTGCAAACAAGCAAGCTCATGGAATGTGTGACCTTTGCATAAATTTATTAGACCAACATATAAAATGAGAAGGTTTAGCATTTAAGAATCTACATTGGCTACTTCATTTAAAAAAAAGAAACAACCAACTCTGGATGTGAAAGCCCTGTGGTCCTTCCACATCCAGTACCGCTTTGCTTGTGGTTTCATGAGTATACGTTGAACTCAGCTGAAAGGGAAAGCCCTGAGATGTCACCATAGGTTCTGCCTTCCCTCTGGAGCATCTTGTGTCTCCTGAGAAACCTGGAGCTCTTGTCTGGACTCCAGGGCTGTGGACAGGCATTGACTACAGTGGTTCCTGGCATGGGCTTCTGGAATTTTTTTAGGGCCCCTGCTTCTCTGGCCTCTGGTACCCCAGAACTCTGCCTTGAGAAGTGTCACTGACAGGATTGCAACCTTGAGCTTGAGGAGCTGGTAGACAGGGAATAGGAGGGAAGGAAGTAAAGAAGGAACAACTGAGGTTCTTCTGGCTCTACTGTGTAGGTTGAAGAGATTGTGGAGGGCATCCTGGAACAGCTCAAATCCAAGTTGGAGCCCAGCACAAAGGAGGAGACTCTTCGGGCCATGTGCTTGCTGGCAGGCAACCACATCCACATCATGGTGCCTCTGCTGCTCAACAAGCCCCTCCCTTGGGATAGGTATCTCTTCCAAGGCCCTGGAGCACATCCTCCATCCCCATGAACCCTCCCCTGCTCCACCCCAAGTCCATGACAAAAATCTCTGCACCAGCACGCTTTTTCCTGATGCCCGTCAAACTTCATGTTCCCTGGCCAAGTCTTCTTGGGTTCTCCTTCCTCTGGCACCTGAGAACTGGCCTTTCATAGGCCTCAGACCAGACTAGTCCTAGGAACATGGTCCCCGGAGGCCCTGACATAGCTGTCTCTGGGTCTTGCAGAACCATTCTAGCCCTGTGGAAGGTTTTTGGGACTTGGCGAGAGACCACATTCAGCATCCTGCAGCTCCTCACAGGCATTTTGGAACAGCGCCACCAAGGACAAGAGAAAGAGGTGGTGTCCCAGAGTGTGTTGGTCAATATGAGGGAGGAGAGGGGGCTGAGGAATCACTGGGACTTGGGAGCAGCTCTGAAGATCAAAGGGCACCTGCAGGGTCGGGGCAGGTGTCAGGGAGGAGCAACAAAGAGAGTTTTAACACTGGTCTTCCTAATACTATATGTACCTGGTGTGTGTGAATATGGATGTCCCGGAACTGCATGACACAGAAAGAGCGAATTTCAGCCCCATTTCATGGACATGGAAACTGATGTTCAGAGTTAATCAGCGTTTTCTATCTCTTAGTTTGGTGGTACAAGGTCATTTCCCTGGAGCCTGGCTGTGGGGATGGGGGATGGAGGAGGTTTGGTTACCTGACATTGGATTGCACAAATTATGCCCCAAATTATAATTTAGAAGAAAATTTAGAGTTTCCTCCCCTTTGTTTGTATGTTGGTGAATGAAGAGAGAGCAGATTACACGTGCATGGCTCCTCATTTTCCCAGAGATGAGCTGTTGGCTTTTCATGTTTTGGTGTCCTTTGGGCAGTAAGAAGTGGGGACAGGGCTGGACTCAGTGTATGGGACCTTAGGACCACTTTGTCTGCACCAGGCCTAGTCAGTTCTGCTTCCCTCCTTCCCATGTGTTTTCCCCAGGCGGCCTGTGCCTTGTATGAGATGCTGTCTGAGTCCCTGTGCCAGGACTCCATTCACGAACTCTTCCCACGGCTCTTGCTGGCTGTGCTGTGTCATCTCCACTGGGTGGTTGACAGATATCCTTCCCTGGAGGTTGTCTACACAGAGAACCAGAGCCCAGAGAAGGAGAGAAAGGTCTTCAACCCAGTTGGGTAAGCCTAAGCCCATGTGATGGGGGAATGGGACTGGTCAACTCCAGTTGCCCTGGGCAACTGGATGCTGATCCCCTAGGGATGCTAAGAAGGAGATGCTGTGGCTTCCACACTGATATTCTACATATTTATCAGTGTGGGTACTGCAGCATCACATGCTGGAATGTTCTCATGTATTTTCAAGCTTCTCTTTCCTTCTTTTCTTTCATGTGCTGTTCTCCTGATTCACTCAGTGGTTCACATCTATGTTCATAACTGTGCATGAGAAAAGTTTCAATTAGATGGAGAATGACAGGGCAAGACCTGAGTCATTCTCTACATGCGGTTATGGCCTTTTGAATCTGGGTGACCTCTGGCTGAGCTTTGTCACTTGCTGTACCTTCTTGTGCAACTCACTACTGCAGTTTTCTGCAGTAAAGTGGAGGTTGGGCTCCTAAATAAGTGGTTGTCTTAGTTCTTTCTAACGCTTCAGAGTATTTGATTCAAGTGCAGCCTTACATAAAAAGTAAAAACAAATAAAAGGAGTCAGAAGAGACATTCTGCTTGGGTGGCTGTGGGGGTGAAGACATATCCTAACCTTCCTATGCCTTGGACAGCAGAGTGTGAACACCATGGCTCTCCAATACTTCTGTCACCTCTTCTGTAAGACTCTGTGGTTAAGTGAGCACTGAGGTTGAAGGGCTGAGTAGGTGAGCCACCGGAGATGGGTTTCAGAGAGCTGGGGATTATCGGAGCAGGGAAGCAGAACCCACCTGGCTATCAGGGTAGGGAATTGTCTCCTGGCTTGCCAGCCCAAGGATGCAAACTAGGGCATAACACCTTATCCATCTGTCCCTTTCTTTTCCAAACCCATGATGACTGGCCTTCAGTTCTGCCTTGGAGTTGTTGAAGCTTCTGCTGACAGCTGCATTTGGTGGAGTGATGACCAGCACAGAAGATCAGAAATGCTGGGAACTTCTATGCAACCCTGTATCATACTACTTAGGGGCCATAGAATTAACAAGGTGGGGACCAATTCCCCAGCAAGCCTCATACCACTCTTCCCCCTACCCCCAGTATTCCAGGGCCCAGCACTCAAATACAGCAGCCTTTATCCTTCCCTTCTTCATCCCAACCTCAGCACTCACATTTCCCCTGTTCTGTGCACAATGCACCTTTGCCCCATCCCCTCTCCCCACTACCCACCCCCCATCCAGCAACTCTTGAATTTCCCTCTCCAACCCCAGTGGCATTGTGAAGAACTGTGAGCCAGCCATTCTGCAGCAGATTCTGAACCATGTCAAGAACCTCCTCTGCAGCCTGGATAATCATCAGAAGATCCTGGCCAGGAGCATCTATGCAGAGGTGAAAGCCTGAGGAGAAGACCCCAGCCCCTGACATTCATTTCCTGCAGCTGAGGAACATTTAACCAAAATGTTAAATAACATGCCCCAGCAACCAGAAAGAATAAAACTGAGCCATCTAAAGTGGGGTTTCTCTGTCTGTAGCTCAAGCAGCCTGGTTAAAAAAGTCAGGGAAAGCCTGGGCAGGAGATCAGCAGCTCTAGTCCCCCAACGTCATCCTTGGATCCCAGCATCTGGCCTGAAATGCAGACTTTATGAGCATCATCTTCCCGGGCCTTAGTCTCTACACCATTTGTACAGATCTGAATCTGTTTGCAACTTATTACAGCCCTGCCTGCATGGGGGGGCCTGAGGAAGGGCTGAGGGAGATTGGGGTACCCAGTCTTTTTCTCCATCCACAGCTGTAATCTCCTTGTTCCCACAGCTCCTCTGTCATGAATCAGTGACTGAGACTCTGGGGCAGGACGTTGTAGACAATCTGTCCAGTTGGATCATGGAGCCCGACCTTGTCATCAAGGAAATTGGTCTTCGTGGGATCAGTAATTTAGCACTGCACCCAGGAAAAGTAAGAATGGGGAAACTCAGTGGGAACCAAGTGTAAGTCTTTGAACCATTTAATGTACTTCCCTTGGGTCTCTTAGTTACTCAGGGCTTAGTTCATTCCCCACCCCTCAGTCTAGGGCAGCAAAGCATCCAGTCTAGAGACTTACACAGCCTGGCCATCAGGCCTCCCACACACCCTGAGCACCAGGCTTCCAGGTCCTTGGCATATTCAGCCCCTGGATCCCCTGTGTCTATTTCTCTTAGGCACCATCTCTTTTCTCACATAAATTCTTGTCCCTGAAGTGTTGCATGATCTGTGGTGATCTGTGCCTTCTTCCAAATAGTCAGAAACTTTGAAGAGCCTGGTTCCCTTCTTGGAAGAACTCCTGAGGAATGAAGAGTGGCGAGTGAGGGTACAGGCGGTGAAGGCCCTACAGAACATCCCCCACCATGGGAAGAGAAAGGACATCAAGCTGGTCTTGGGTAGCATCACCAAGCAACTGCCTGCACTCGTCAGTGATGTATGGGCCTAAGTACCTGGGAGTAGTTGGGAACAATAGGGGCTGAAGCTGCAGATGAACTGTTCAAGCAGAATTAAAGATTCTGGGGCAGGGATATGGGACTGGGGTGGAAGGCTGAAATCACTGAGGGGCAGAAAAAAGGAGATGTGGTTACTTGAAGCAGTGCATTGGACAGGCCCCAAATTTATCTGCTATTACATACAGATGTGCCCAGCACACACTCATCCACTCCTCTCTTGTCACTAGTTCTCTGAGGGAGCCACTAAAGGAAGAAAAGTGATACTGATACAGAATTGGTTGTGACTCCCAGGATCTTCTCATGCAGACTTGAAGAGTGTGGAGAGAGCTCACGACTTCTAGCCTCCTTCCAAACACAGGGACCCTAGAACGCTAGGAGCCTGGTCTCAAGAACCCAGAGGTTCAGAAACCTGAACTTCCCAGACCAGTACCTGCTCTCTCATCATCTTATCCTCCTTACAGAACATAGAACTTCTGAGCTGATGGGATTTGCATGAGAGATGCTTGCTCACAGCGCTGCTCTTCTGGCATCCATAACTTTTTAGTTTTTGAACCTTGGATTTAAATTATTTTTGTGTCCCTTTCCTCATCTCTAAGAACCTGGACCCTCACTCCATGATAGCAGGGTCAACATCTGATTCATCTATATCTCAGCTACTTCTAAAGTACAACACATATAATTGACTTAACGAAGCCTAAAAATAATCTTTTCCCTTCATGCAAGGAATGAAAGGAGCTTAGAGTGCTTTAACTCTGATTACACCCTCCCATTTTATATGTTATTATTGTCTAATATTTTACTTTCACAATTCCCAAATTTGGTCTTTAACAGCATCAGCATTATTGGTATTTTATACAGTCAACACTTACTCAGATTTACCTCTATGTTTACATATGCCTTGTTGGACCTTTCCTTCTCATAGCTTTTGCCTCCCTTCTAGATTACCTTTTCTTTCTTTTTTGTTTTTTTAATTTATTTTTTTATTGATTATGGCATTACAGTTGTTCTATTCCCCCTTCATTCCCCTCTACCCTACCCCCCATCCCACCCATTGCCCCCCTCTTTAGTTTATGACCATGTGTCTCAAGTTCTTTAGATTCTGTATTTCCCATACTATTCTTGTCCCCTCATCTATTTTCTATCTACTGTCTATGCTACTTATTTTCTGTACCTTCTCCCCCCTTCTCCTTCTCCCACTCCCCTGTTGCTAACCCTCCTTGAGATCTTCATTTCTATGGTTCACTCCTGATCTAGCCGTCCTTTTAGTTTGTTTTTGTTTTAGGTGTGGTTGTTAATAACTGTGAGTTTGCTGTCCTTTCACTGTTCATGTTTTTTTAACTTCTTTTTTTTAGGTTAGTCCCTTTAACATTTCATATAATAAGGGCTTGGTGATGATGAACTCCTTGAATTTGATCTTATCTGAGAAGCACCTTATCTGTCCTTCCATTCTAAATGAAAGTTTTGCTGGATAGAGCAATCTTGGATGTAGGTCTTTGGATTTCATGACTTGGAATACCTCTTTCCAGCCCCTTCTTGCCTGTAAGGTCTCTTTTGAGATTAAGAGGGTAGAGGGAGGAGCACTAATAAGAGTTGGGAGTTGGAGCAATGGGAAAAAAGTAGGTAAAATTTACCTCATGAATTAAAAAAAGAATGAACAATGAGGAATGGAGTATGAGAAGGGACATATATAATATTAGGTTTAAATAGAAATTAACACTGAAATGGAGAACAAGGGGACAGTGACCAGAGGGGAGAGGGAAGGGAATTTAAGGGGAAAAAAGGGGAGGGATTTGGAGGAGCAAATAGGAAGGGCACAGGGACAAAAACTAAGGGGGTTGGAAATGGGAGGGAGGTGGTGAGCACGGGGCCAGGGAGGCTGGGATGGGAGAAATAGACAAAAAACTGTACTTGAAAAATAACTAAATAAAATTTTTGAAAAAGAACTTTTCCCCAAGCTACAAATAAATAAATAAATAAATAAGAAGACATTAAAATAATATAAAATAAAGTGAGAGAAAAAGGAAGAAAAAATAGTGAATAATTAATAAAAACATAGGAACCAAACTGGAGAGAAAGATCCACCACCGTACTATCAACCACATATGTGGAAAAATTAATATAGGTGGTACGGGAATAAGAGAGAAAAATAGAAAAGTCTAAGTGATGTTTAGAGGAATGGGAAGTATTTTTAAAATGATAGAGGGAGAGGCAGTACTAAGAGTGAGGAGCAAACACCAAGCTAAAGAAAAAGAAAAGAAAATTTGGGATGTAAGGAAAAAGAGAAAAAGGAGAATAAAAAAATACAAGGTCAGGGAGAAAGACAAGAAAAAGAAAAAACAGGCTAAGGAGGAAAAACTAAAATTTAACACACAAAAAAGACTGGGAGAGGGTACCAGTAAAATTTAATATATGGAATACAGCATTAGTAAAGCTCTAGAGGTAAAATTGAAAAGACAATGCAACAACAACTACCATACCCACAGCCAACTAGCAAAGATGGTTAAAGGTGGAGAGAGAACATAGGTATTTTAAGAGCAGGGCTGTGTAATGAACCTTGACAAGAAAATCGGTTTTGTGTGTCTGGCTGGCGGAGAAATAGTAAGAGTGCAGAATAGAAACAAGTTGTAGTGAGAAAGGAAACAAAATTTGAAATGAAAATATTGCAAGGGAAAAGGAAGGTAAAATGGGCCCAAATATGAGCATTAAAATTCATTATAGTATAAAATCTAGTGACTTAACATATACAGACTTGCTGGACAAAAAAGGAATGTCAAAAAGCTATTTGGGAAAGATAATATCACAAATCACGAAAAAGACTACAGTGGCTTTCATCTCAGTAGCCTCTTATATGTCCCATTGTTTTTTCTTTCTGGGTCTGCCTCTGGTGATGTCAGATGTTGACCCCGTCTGACCTTAGGCAGCCTGTTCAAAGCTTTCAGTGATCTGCCATGCCTGGCTGTCTCCTTCACTTGTTAATATGGTCACTCTGCACTCAGCAGTCAGATTTAAGCACCTGAGGGCTGAGCTGAATCCCTCCTGGGGTGGAGGCTATTGTTTCCCCTCAGGCTGCTGCTGCTGCTCCAAGGGGAGAGGTCTGCCTGAGCAGATGGCTGCTGCATATGGGGGTTGGCTCAGCATGGGGATCCTGGTAGCTACTCTCAGTTCTCTCCCCAAGTCCTCCATCCCTAGTCTCTCCTCAAGTCTCTCTAGTCCACTCTGCCCCTGCTTTGCCAGGGATCTACTGCCTCTGGCTGTCTCCCTCAGTTGTTAATCTGGTCACTCTGCACTCAGCTGTCAGGCTTAAGCACCACAGGCCCAGGGCAGATACTCTCCTGGGATCTGGGCTATCATAGGGGCTCAGGAGTGGTCTGCCTGAGAACAATGGCTACTGCTCTCTGGGGAATGACTCAGTGCACAGAACCTGGCATCTACTTTCTCAGTTCTCTCTTCCAAGCTTCAGTCCTTAATCTCTTCTCAGGCATCACCAGCCCACTCTGCCTGTGCCTTTGCCAGAGCCCAGGGTAAGTGGCTGGTAGTGCAAATTTGTGTGTTGGCCCTTTAAATGGCTCCTGGGTTTCCAGCTCCCCGCCCCCTCTGCAGCCCTGCCACTTTTTGCTGCTGGTTGTTATCTGTGTATTTTGGGACTCTAGTGCTCTAGGATGGGAATTCTAGGTTTTAGACCCCACTCTTGTCAGGGGGATTCAGCCAGCTGCTAAATTATCCCTCCTGTGCTGCCGACCTATGGGTGCCCAGCCAGCCCTCTTGAGTCTGTACCACACTCCTTCCCAAACAGGTTGTGTGAAAGCTGATTCTTCGATCTATATGAAGTTATGGGGCTTCTCTCTGGCTATTGCTCAGGTGTTTGTTCTGGGTGGTTTCTCCACACTTGAGTTGTAGTTCCAGATTGGCCCTGGGGGGAGGTCAGTGTGACTTCCATTCAGTCCTCCACTGTCTTCCCTCCCATATATCTATTTTCACTTGTCTTAAGGTCTCTTTTGATTCTTCCTTGATCTCATTGTTAACCCATTCAATGTTTAGTGACCTGTTATTCAGGCTATGTGTGTCTGTGTGTTTCTCAGTTTTTTCTTGTAGTTGATTTCTAGTTTCATACCATTGTGGTCAGAGAAGATGCTTGACTTATGTTCAGCCTTCTTAAATGTACTGAGAGTGGTTTTGTGTCGTAATATGTGGTTTATCCTGGAAAATGTTTCATGTGCACTTGAAAAAATGTACAGTCTGCTGCTTTGGGGTGAAATGCTGTGACAATATTAATTGTCAGTGGTGTTTAAAAATTTTCCACTATTACTCTATTAATGTCTATCTGTCCTTTATGTTCACCAAGATTTGCCTTACATAGTTAGGTGCCCCTATGTTGCACACATGAGTGTTTATAAGAGTTATGTCCTCTTGTTGGATTGATCCCTTTATCATTATGTAATGGTTTTTCTTTGTCTCTTTATTGTAGCCTTTGTTTAAAGTCCATTTTGTCTGATAGAAGTGTTGCTACTTCAGCTTTTTGTTTGACTCCACTTGCGTGAAACCTCTTTTCCATCTCTTTCAGTCTGTGTGTGTCTTTCCTTCTGAGGAGAGGCTGTTTTAGACAGCAGGTTTATGTGTCATCTTTTCTGATTCTTTCATCTAACCCGTACCTTTTGATTGGAGCACTTAATCCATTTACATTGAGAGTGTTTTCTTATAGGTATGTATTTATTGCCTTTTAATTTTTTCTAATTATGCTTTTTCCTTCCTTCTTCTGAAAGAAGTCTTTTTTAACACTTCTTCTAACACTAAATTGGTGGTAATGAGCTTTTTCTTGTCTGGGAAGCCTCTTATTTCTCCTTCAATTTTAAATGATAGCCTTGCTGGGTAGAGTAGTCTTGGTTTGTAGCTCCTAGATTTTCATCACTTTGAATATTTCTTGCCAGTCCCTTCTGGCCTGCAAAGTTTCTATTGATAAACCAGCTGACAATCATATGGGAGCTTCCTTGTAGATAACTCAGTGCTTTTCTCTTGCTGCTTCTAAGATTATCTCTTTGCACTGACTTGCTAAGAGGACACCTGGGTTTCTGGCAGGAGAATCCCTTCTCTCCCTAGTGGATAAAATCCCTGCCAATTTTGACAGCCCGATGTTAGGTGTGTTTCTCTTCCTGGCTCTGTTTCTCTGGGCTTGGGAGCTGCTAGAGGGTCGAGACCTCTCCCTCCTAAGAGTTTACCTTTATAGGTGAGCTATCCCTCTGCTTTCTCAAGTGCTGTGTGTGGGTGCAGGGCCAGCCCTTTTAGCATCTCAGCCCTTGCTTTCAGTCTCAATGTGGCTTCTTTTGTAAATTGTTGGTTATAAGACTTCTAGTCAGCTAGTCTTTAACTGGTTATTCAAGTTGATGGTTTTGTAAATTAGTTGTAATTTCTGTTTGCCCCCGGAAGGAAGTGAGTGTAATTTTCCCCTACTCCACCACCATCTTAAATCCTGTTTTTGTTTTTGTTTTTTTTCATTAAAGCACTACCATTGAATCACCTCTCAGTTTAGCTATAATGTGCCCTGTGCAAAAGATGATAATGTGTATATTCCACTTGTTAAAATGTCTGTTTTTCATATCCTACGAATTCAGACTGTCTAGTCCTCCTGTTACCGAACAAGAGGAGGTCCGTGGGAGGGGCAGACAATATTTGGCCCATCTAGGGATGCCCAAAACTGCTATACAACAGGGGCCCCTCCCAAAAACAAAATACTAAAATCTACTGGGCCCTTCTGTCCGCCGCCAATTGGAAAGACATCTCTTAATGCCAGAGATTTGTGAAAAGGAAACAAAATGTTTATTTAATGCTATTCAGGCCTAATGCCTCCACTAAAATATCAAAGTCCTTTATGTATACACCTACACCCACACAGCGCTCCCTTCTCCCACTGTCCCAACTCCGGGTACCGTAAATCAGGAAAAGAGCACATGTCTGTGTTGCAGACCGCTGGCACCGTCAGCTGTGTCACCGTGCAGGCAGGATCTCGAGTTAATCCAAAGTACTGTGGTACCCTCTCATGGTCCACTGGCAAGAGTCCTTTGTACCCAGTTCCAGTCAAAGTCTCTGTTGCTTTTCAGGCCCCGCGGCCAAAGGGGGCACCCCAAAGCTGCATGGGCCTCTTCTACCAAAGCTGCAGGAGTCCGCACTCCACCAAAAGCATGTGGCTGTCTTCTTCACCTGGCTGCAGGGATCTCCATTCTGGCCAAACTGTGTGGTTTTTCCCTTTCACCTGGGAAAGAGGGGGTCCACACTCCGCCAAAACCACGTGTCTCCCTCTTTCACCTTACCAAGAGGGGGTCCTCACTCTGCTGAAACCGCGTGGCTCTCTCTCATCTGGCCAAGCGGGGACCCTTCATGTCTCGGAGCCAGTCTTTTCCAAGCTCCCACCCAGGCCATCTCGCTCAGGAGCGCAGCCCCTTGTTACATTCTGAGTCCAAGCCCTTCTCACTCCGGAGAGCAGACCTTAGTTCCCATCCTGAGTCCTCCTAGTTCCATCCTCAGTCCCTGCTAGTTCCTTCTCAGTCCCCCTTCTACTCCAAACTTGGCCACTGCTATTTAACATATCTATGAAACCAGTTAAAGGTTATAGATATGTTAAATAACCATTCCTCCAGAGGTTAGCTCCAAAACTGTTGCTATGCAAAATAGCTCTCAATGGCCTGGCTCCATTCATCCCTTCCCCCCTGGGGGGGGGCGGTGAGGACATCTTATATGTCTCTCCAATATTTCTATACACTTTGAATTTTGGACACCATTCCAAATCTTTTTTTTGGGGGGGCCCCCTTTGGCTGCAACCTGTATCACTCCCATGCCTGTTATTTAGTACTGTGCCTAGCTTATGATAGGTGCTCAATAACTATTTGTTCAATATAATATACTCGTGAAAGCGTACAAGGTGTGGATGTTTGTGACCATTATTAATATAGATTTAAACAATTATATCCAACTATAGATATATATATGTATTAATATATATAATTATTCCTCTATATGCAATTATTTATAGACTTAAAGCTAATATACATTTTTTAAAAGATTTTATTTATCTTTAGAGGGGAAAGGAAGGAGAGAGGGAGAGAAATATCAATGTATGGTTGCCTCTTGTGTGTCCCCTGCTGGGAACTGGCCTGCAACCCAGGCATGTGCCCTGACTGGGAATCGAACCGTGGTTGCTTGGTTCCCAGGCCAGCGCTCAATCCCCTGAGCTATACCAGCCAGGGCCTAATATACATTTAAACAACTTTATTCACAGCATAAGTAGGATAATGTCTGTGTTTTGTTTTTAATTTGGCAGTCTTGAGGTAAATCCCCTAAGAGAATGCAGTTACACATTGTAAATATGGTTTGTGGCAGAATTGAAGTTATAATCTTGGTTTCCCTAGCACTGTGACTTAACAAACTGACTCATTAGCTCTGGGGGCTAACGAGAATTCCTGAGACACACAAGTCCTGTTGCCTTTCCAGTATGCACACACAATGGCATCAGTGTCCTTTGGACATGAGGAATGACATGTGGGGAGTATGGAAGTCAGGTAAGGCAAGGCCAGAGGAAAACCAAAGTCTTTTCACCTCCATTTCCCTTTTCATGGCAGGAGAAGGACGAGGTGAGGATCTCAGCCACCTCTGCGCTGGGCCACATCCTAACTCAAGTCAGAAAATTGAAGCCTGGATCTGCCCTCAGAAAACAGATGAACAGCTTGTTAGTCCCGCTGTTGCTCAGCTTGCAGGACAACAACACTGATGCAGTCAAGGTACTAGTGTCCTCTGTCCTGCCACGCTGAGGCTGATTCACCCCTTCCTGCTAGAGGATATAGCCCCTTCCCTTTAGTCCTCTTTCATGAGGCACGTCTGGGGTCTGCATTCACTGTCCACTTCTTTGGTCCCATCCTCTGGGCTGGATCTGAGCACTTTTACCCTCTCTCAGGTGCCATCACTCTTATCCTGATATGATTCTGCTCCCTGAAGCTGTTTATGTCCCTTCACATAAACAAGGCCCCATGTTTCACCTGATCCCAGCTACTAATCCCAACCAAAGCCCTAGGGGCCTACCTGCATAGTCTTCCACTTAGTCTATGGTCTGGCTCTGCGGGGTTATAGGAGTGAGGCTTTGAGGATTTCCTTGTTTCTGTCCCACAGGCCTGTAGAAGGGCCCTGACTGAATGGACCAAAGTGATGGGGTTGTAGCGGTTGACACGCATAGTCGAGGATACCAACTTCAGGGACCACTTCCACATGTTGGAAGAAACCTGCAAATACCTGGTGAGTGAGAGTCTCTGAGGAAGCCAGGTCACAGTATTCATATTAGGGACTCAGTGACAGGCTAAGAGAGTGAAGAGGAGAGAAGACATCATCTTTTTTTTCCTTGATTCTCATGATCATCAGCAAACTCTGACAACCCATGTTTGGGATGCCAGCCCTGGTCCTCCATAGCATCCCAATCTTTGCCTTGAGAGTCTAAGGATGTCATGTAAAGGGAGTAGATGGCAGTGGGATAGAGGCTTCTGCTTAGAGGTGGCAGGAAAAGCTAGAGGCAGGAGTCCTCAGGGCTTTATATTAGTCATCAGGGTGCTGAAGATCTGTGGCTTCTGTGACTTCAGGAGTCTTTGTTGAAAAGTAAACATAGAAGAGCTAAGCAAGTTGGTTGGGGACTAACAAGAGTAATTCTAACATTATGAATTTGGGTTCCTTACATAGATAGAGCACTTTAGAGTTTACAAAGCACTTCCACATCCATTCTCCCATGGAAGCCTTGCAGTCATGTAGGGATGGTCTGGCAGGTTTTATTTCAACTTTACAGATGAGAAACTGAAGCCAGTGTCAGGGCCAGTATTCAAACCTGGGTCTCCTGACTCCACATCAGTCATTTCCTCCCCCTCTCATGTTGGTATTGGGGAGAATTCTCTTTATGAACTTTCTGCTGAGTCTGCTCTTTGGCTGGGGTGGGAGTGTCTGAGTGTGCAGGTTCCAATGATTTAAGCTGACTGAAGACAGAAAACAATGCTGCTTCTGGACAGGGTGAGAGAGGCATGGCTGCATGTTGGGGGCTGGGATAAGCCTGAAACAGGCTGATACAATCCAACCTGAAGGTTGCGCCTGAATAACAGGATGCTGCGGTTAGGAGCCATAGAACTCCCCCTCCTGGACATGCGGGTGGCACACCAATCAGTGCCTTGATCACGCGCCCGCCATGCACCCCCCGACCAATTGCAGGCTAGAGCACGCTTTGAAGCCACCTATCCACTGCACTTCCTCCACTGCCCTCCTCTATATAACTCCCTCCATTTTGAAATAAATTTGCAGCTTGATCAGAATCCTTTGTCTTGCTGCCATTCTTCGCGCCTCCTGTCCCATCCCCCTTCATCCGTTACAGGTATATCGGCGGACCCCGATGACTTCCTCGAGGGCCGAGGCAGCTGCAAGCAGGTCTTTAGTAGAGTCCCTTCCCCAGTCATCACCAATCCTCTTTAACTCCGCAGGTGAGCACACGCAAAACTGGGTTCTTGGGGGACTTACTTCTCCAGAGCTTTGAGTTTTTGAAGAGCTGTCAGCCCTTCCTACGGGCAGCTGCTGTCACCCTCATAGGTAAGGTGGTCCCTCCTGTCAGTTCCTCCCTCCTCTGCAGCAGGAAAGCCCTCCTTGACTTTTTGCTAAAGGGTGAAGCCTGAACCATGGTATGATGAAGATGGTCATATCCTTTTCCAGCTCTGACCTGTTTAGGGAGGTTGACCTTGAACTGTGTGTCAGAAAAGCCTGGGAAACTCTCTGCCATAATCCTGGCTGTGTGTGCATCTACCCATGAGGCATGCTGCTTTGTGAGAAATATATGTATATATATATATACACATACACACTTGGCAGGGGAAAACTGTTGCTTCAGCTTAAAACCCATTGATTTTCCCAAATAGTTTTGTTTTAAACTGTTTCACAGTGACAATATGCATCAATTTAGAAAGCATAAAATATTCAGATGGGCTGAAAGAAGACAATAAATAATGCTAGAACTTCCATTGTTTGGATTTGACCACTACTAGCATCCTCAAATTTTTTTAAAACAAAATATGCAACACACACACACACACACACACACACACAGCACTTTTAAAAAAGTACAAACTTTGGGCCCTGGCAGAGTGGCTAAGTTGGTTGGAGCATTGTCTTGTGCACCAGAAGTTTGCAGGTTTGATTCCCAGTCAGGGCACATACCTGAGTTGTGGCTTTAATCTCAGGTCATGCTGCACACAAGGCAACCAATTGGTGTTCCTTATGCTGATGTCTGTCTGTCTCTCTCATTCTCTCAGATCAATAAACAAAGATTTCAGTGAGGATTCAAAAAACACAAACATTGCTACACACCTGTATCATGAACGCATGCATTACTCTTCAACTGAGTAATTTTAATTCTATTGCATAGATGCATTTATGAAACCAGCCCTTATTTTTGAATATTGGGACTGTGTCATCTTTTGTTTTCATAGGCAGGGACATAGTGGTTGACTGTCTGCATGTCATCGTGATAATTTTGTTAAGATAAATTTCTTAAAAGTGAAATTGCTGGGCCCAAAAGGTGTGCACAATTCTAAGGACTTTGGTCCTTATCGACAAACTGCATTGTACAAAGTTAGATCATTTGTTATTGTCATCAGTTCTGTATGTGAGCATCCATTTCTCCAGACATTTGCCCACCCTGGGTGGTATGTTTTAAAAATTATTACTGGTTTGATGGGTAAAAACAAGAAGCTTGTTGTTTTGATGAATACTTTTCCTTATCAGCAGCAAGGTTAAATATTTTTTTGCAGTACATATAGGCAATATGCATTTTATTTGTGCACATGAGTTGACTGTGCCCTCAACTCTCTATGGATGTGGGAATTCCCTGAAGGTTAACATCCTTGGCTCATGCTCCACTTGTCACCTGCTGACAATATTTTGCCTGGGTCACAAGTGTTCTTTCTCTAGGACACTGACATGTAAGGAGCAAGGCATCTCTTAGATACATTCCTTGCTAAAACTGGTTTACAGGTTTCCTTGTTCACTAGTGAGCCTGGGGCAAGGGCATGGCCCAAAGACCCGGGAACTCTGGAAGGACTTTATATCTCTTCAGTCCTTAGCATCAGTCGTTTTGAAGATTAACCTGAACTACATACATGAAGAAGATGTGCAGCTCATACAAAACAGTGAGTCTGGGCCTTTTTCTGTGGTTCTGGGTTACACCAGGAGGTGGGGCAAGAGAGGAAGGAGGAAGGGAGACTACCTTAAGGATCTGTGTTATTATTTTAAGTCAAGTTTCTTTTTACCAATATTATTTATATATACATACAAATATTTATATTACTATTTACCAATATTATTTCATATGCAAATATTATATATGAGGACTTCAGTGGACAGAAGTAAGAGGAAGGAAACAAATGATCCATCACTGGACTCATTGGATAAAAACCCTGCTAACAGAACGTTCCAGTCACTGCACCTTTATCACACGCTCCAGGTGCTGACTGCAGTGCTGTGTGAGGCAGACAAGGTTGCTGCTTCCTGAAATACTTGCAGTGTTGTGTTCTTTTAACTGCATTAAAATGCTTTAAAACTAATCTAAATGTAGGATAAATTCATGGGTATAGTCTCATTGCAAAAAAAGAGATTGATATGTATATAAGCTGTGTAGTCCTATATTGTTCTGCTGCTTGCACATAGAATAAATATATGGTTTATATATGTGTGGTATAAAATATTACATGTATGTATATAAATGGTCTCTGCAACTTGCTTTTTGTCCCACTTAGTTGCTGCATACAGATCACCTTCATTCCCATAACTCTTGATAGATGACTAAAGTTGTTTCCGAATTTTTGCTATTCAGACAAGCTACCATGAACACTCGTATATGCCCCCTTCTGCACAGGCTTAAGTGTTGCTTCAGACTGGATACAAAAGAGTAGACTTTCATCTTGCATATTGAGCTCAACAAAATTTAAAGTAAAACAACATTTTAATCTTCTCTTCTGTGTTGACATAAATTCCAGTCACTACCCCTCCCAACGTACAGGCTTTTGTTAGCCAATATTTGAGTTCTCTTTTTCTAACCCATAATGTAGATGCTATGGTTATTTTCTTTTCTGAATGAGTCCAGTCTATTTACTAAGTGCAGTCTCCCTCCTCCTATTCTACTGTGTGTGACCTTGGTCTCATTTCCTCCTGCTTCAATTTTGATAGTGTTCCATCAGTTTCCCTTATTTTGCATCTGATTTCCAATTTTCCATCGAAGTCCACTCTGTAAGAGCAAGTTCAAGTTCCTCCTTTCCTCAGCTACTCTGTTAATCTAATCTGGCCTTTATCAGCCCCCATTTTACACAAGCCTTTTAGATTCACAGAGTGTTACATGCTGACCATTCTTTCTGTACGCCTGACCATCCTAAGTACACCTTTTAGAAGTTCCTTTAGTGCTGCTGTCTTGGCAGTACACTCTCTTGGTTTTTGTTTGTTTGTAATAATTTCTTGGTACCCTCATTCTTGCAAGATAGCCTTGCTAGTGACACAATTCTAGACCAATTATTGTCTCTCAGCACTTTGACTATATTCCACTATTATTTTCTGGCTTTCTTTGTTGCTCATTAGAAGCCTTCTGTCTTTTGTAACACTTCTAGGTAATCTCTAGTTTTCCTTGGGCTGTTGAAGATTTTCCTTTTCTTTTTTAACAGTGTTCTTTCAAAGTACAGTGCAGAGCATTTGAGTACCCAAGGTGCCCAAACTTCACATTCAACAAGTAGAAACTCACGGCCAGCTTGTTTTTTCTATTTCCCTACCTACACCCTTCTCCCTGCCTGAACTATTCTGAATCAATTCTCAGAGTTCATATCGTTTCATTTATAAATATTTTAGTACATATTTATTTCTAAATCATACTCTTTTTAACAGTAAAACGTTGAAGAAATCATAATTGGGCCTGCTATGGAGTAGCATGCAAATTAGGCATGATTTTTTTTACATAAAAATGTCCCAGGAATTTGTAGACCATTTGGGACCTAAGGCCACTCACCCAGACCTTTGAGGCTATCAGTGATTCTCTTCTGCCTCTACAGTTAGGGGTACTCCAGAGAAGCATCTGCTAGTCCTAATATGCAAGCCTCCTAATTTCGGAAGCTGGGTCATTTGTCCAGGGTCACAGAAGAGATTTAATGGAAGAACTAGAACTGGAATTTCTAATTCAGTGATCTTTCTGCTAACCTGTGCTTCAATATTCTTTAACTTGCCTGAGTTCTGAGAAAGAGGTAGGGAATGGGAGTGGGGGCTGTGGAGGAGAAGAACGGCATAGCAGCTATTCCTCCATCTATCAGAAGAGTTTTATCTCACCTTTAACACCCCTTTGTTCCCTTCCATCCCTGAACAGCCATACCTGTGTTGTGTATAGGACCTACTTCTGCTGACTCCTCCCCATTGCTC